TGTGTGTCTGTGTCTGTGTCTGTGTCTGTGCACGCGCCCCCACAGGCTTCACAAATCGAAGGACAATCCCTGGGTACTCTCCTTCCTATTGCTGGATCCTGGAAAGTCTTATCTTGCCAAGCCATCTTGCTGGCCCTGTATACACATTCTTTACCTATTCAGCTCAAAATACCCCAGAGAAAGGAAAAAATAGTATTTGTCCCCACTTTGCAAACGTTAAGAGGAGAGAAGAGATACTACCTACATTCCCTCACATACACCACCACCACATACACGGCTGTGTGGGCCTGTGATCCTGTCATTTTGTGCACTGAGGCAGGGCTCTGCTAAACAACACAGCTATCTGCAGACAGAATCCCCACATCTTCTAATGTGGGAACAAGGCTTCACAATTAAGCATCTAAATTTAGCCCAAAGAGCCTTCCTTTCCAAAACTTTTACTTGCAAATGTATCTTAAAACCAAGACAAATTATGGCAAATTCTTCAAGCCTCAAAGAACAAATCTGAATGCCATTTTTATAGTCTCAAAAATATTTTTAATATACATTGTCTGAATACAGTCTTAGGAAATATACAGGATTCATGCATGCTCAAGTATATACAGGTTTGGGGAATCTCACAATTCTTTTCAAATTTTGAAAGCATCATTTAAATTAATTTCCCGTGAGACTTTACTAAAAGTCTTAGAAAATCTACATGTAAGTACACATAAAATGTGTAGATTTTACCAATTTCCAGATGGACTGCCACAGCAATCAAGCTAACATTTCCACTTAGCCTTACATATTTCAGACAAACCGTGCCAAGAAGTAATTCCGCTCTTTTAAAGAAAAGCTTAACATGTGATTTATTGCAAGGGCTACAAAATATTCTTTTCACCAAAATACCTGGCAAGTACAGATTCAGTGAAACTTTTTTATTGCACATTCAAGGAGCTAGGAATGAGAACACAGTATAGGTATGGCTTGAATCAAGACTCCAACCACAGAGAAACCCTGCCTCAAAAAACCAAAAAAAAAAAAAAGACTCCAAGCGTAACTACTACTTGCATGTCACAATTAAGAAAAAATTAGCATTTATCATTGTAGTGACCAGGTTTACCATAAACAATGACTCTAACTCATGCTTCAAGATGGGAAAGGAGACGCAGCCTCTTAAGAACAAATATTTAAATGATACAGCATCCACTGCACTGGGATTACTTAGATACTCGTATAATTCAGAAACACCACTCATTACCAAACATGGCTCCAATGGCAGAATTTTCTTTCAATGTTTTATATTTAATGGTGCGTTCTGACTAAATATTATTTTACAACCAAAGATAAATAAACTAAAAAGAAGCACAAGCAGTACAATCTTTACTCAGAATGATTAAGAATAAAGATTTGGAGACATGTTTTCTCCCCCAACTGAAAGTGCATTAATGACACATTTCCCATGATGATCAATTAGCCATCATTCAAATGCAATGCACTGAAGTTGGGTAAGCATGTCAAAAGTGAGTTTTCTTTCCTTAGGGCAAGTTTCTGTGCAAAAGCCCAAACTGGTTGGGGTTTTTATTTTTATTTTTATTTTTTTGTTGCTGTTGTTGTTGCTGTTGTTTCTAAGGAGGAAAAAGCATCAGATTTTAGAAAAAGAACAGTTTGGCTTCCATTATCAATCTTAAAGGAGTTGCTTCAAGTCTCATTTTCTATAAGAAAAGGGCTGTTTCTGTGCTATGCAGCATAATGGACCAAATGTTTAAATTACTCACCATCAATCAACTCTATGCAAATTCATTTAAATTTCATAATGATTTAATCTGCATACTAGGAATGCTGATCCCATGTCATGAAAATGTCATACTCTCCAGGATATCTCACACTACATCTCTTGCCACAAAACAATACCACTGTTCAAATGCAGAAAGTGAATCACAAAAGCAAAAAGGAATTTGGATAGGAAATCCAACCCCTCCTTCAAGGTATAAACCATAACATCTACTCTGAAGAGTAGAATCACTGTTTCTGTGATTCAACCACCCAGCAAAGAAACTTTCACTTAACGAGGTCATTGGGAGTCATGTAATTTTGTCCCCCCAGTGGACATCTGGCAATGTCTGCTGACTTCATGGGTTGTCACAAATGAGCAAGGAACTACTGGCACTTTGTGGGGTTGAGAAGCTGCTAAGCATTCCATCATAGATAAGAAAGATACCCCAAAGAAAGATTAGTGCAGTCCAAATGTCAACAGTACAGTAGCTGAAAAACAATGTTTTATGGGAACAAAATATGCTAACCCTACTAAGAGCCTCTGGAGCCTTCTCTGACCTGCTCTATGAAAACCATCTTTTACAGCTTTAACTAAAAATGTCTAACTTCAAAAAGCAAGCACTAGGACATGACAGTGGGCACTGTAATTGCCGATGGACAGCACACAAATCATGAAGCACTAAATACATGTCACACTCAGCAGGTACTCTCTATCCCTTCACATCCAGAATTTCCTGCAGATGTTCTCTGCATGCAAGCTTGACACATCCTCCTCCATGTTCACATAGTCTTTCACTTTCCACTATGGGGTTTTCTAGTGAATGCTGCAGATTTGATGTTGGTGCTTGCACACGCACCCCCCCACCATGCACTCCACTTGTACATGTATTAAAACTAACACGGGCCTAGTCAGAAAACAGTAAATAATCCAAGGCGCTTCGAACCCTGGAAACTGTGATTCAACAGATCACCAAAGGTTTCTAAATCATATCTAAACTTGAAAAGAGATCAACATTCTGAAGAAATAGTCCCACAAATAAGTAAACAGCCAGTGTAAAAGAATCACCAAAAGAAGCTGTGTGCACATGTGTGTGAGCTACACAGAAGCCACAAAGAAAACAGGGAGCTGAAATGGACTGTTGCTTCTCAGACAAGTAGCTGAGAAAACAGGGAGCTGACATGGACTGTTGCTTCTCAGACAGGTAGCTGAAACAAACCAACAAACAAAAATGTGTAGCCAGATGCTAAAAAGCAGATTTTCCAGTTTTCACATCTTAGGTAACCACAGAATTTCAAAGTTCATCATGGAGAAAAAACTTAAAAATTTCAATGAAAAGAACATGTCAGGCTTTCGAAGCCATACAGATCAATGTGGAATTGGTTGGTAAATGGTGGCCAATCCCAATGTTATCAGACAGCCATTAAACACCAGACTGAAGAACAGTTAAAGACATAGATATGCGCTTACTACAGCATAATGGAAGACAAGCTACATTATTACACACAACATATCAAGTCGGTGTAAAACATAATACAGAAGTGAATGTTTCTATAAATAAATATGTGTGCATAAAGAAATAGAAGCAGGCACACCATGACGGACTGGTGACAATCTGCTACAATGCTAACAATGGCTATCTGTGGAGGCGGAAGGTTATGGCCGCCTTCTATTCCTTCTTTGTGCCTTTTCTGTTTTCCAACTGTCTTACAGTGAGACTATTTTGCTGTTTTGTGCTTACAGAGCTAATACATTATTACAAAGTTGCACCTCATTATCTTGAGCACTGTGTAGAAAAAAAAACCTAAATGAAGCTAACCCTTCCATCAACAAACAGGAAACATTCATTGAGCATTATCATTGTGTCCCTGGGTCTAAGAACTTTCCTAAATGCATCAATAGCTTTAAAGCAAAAAAAAAAAAAAAAGCCCTGTTGCTTCCAACAATGGATTTACAGCTCTATTCCCATGGCTTGAAATACAGGGAGCTTATAAAATGATCTATAAAGGTCTTCAAAGCTAAGCTGAAATTTCACATGGAAAAGATTTTTTTTAACCCAGTAAAGTGTTTGTAAGAAAGCCTGGAAGGTGGCTGTCAAAAACAGAAAAAACAATAATAATGACTCAGTTCCTCCGTCATATCTGAATGCAAACTTCCTAAATCTCTTTTTCAATACCACCGTGGGCAGGACCCTCGAATCTGTAGCCCGTGCTACTGTAGGTAAACGAACCTTGGTAGGTTCCCCTTGCTGTAAAATGTTACTTTAAACAATAACCTTGAAGTAAACAAAAACTTTGAGATACATTTTAGTCATGTTCAGGGGCCATTTTGTTCTAGAGACAAACATTCCAGGGTTTGTTTAAAGGGTCCTAAGGGCAAGGCACTGGGATTCAGCAAAAGGGTCCGCAGGTCAAAGACCCCCAAATCCTCAATATATGAAACATGGGGGGTTGGAACCCCATTTCTCCAGGTGCAAATTCCAACTGCGTAGTGAGGGACAACGGGGTTTCCCGGTTATCTGCGGGATTGTCCCCACTGCTCGAGGCCCGACCCAATGGTGCCAGCCTTGGGGCTGGTGCTTCACGCGTGGGTCGTGGAAGCGCACTGGCCCGTGAGGTGAATTTCGTGTCTCACTTGCCATCCACAGAGGACATGGCAGGCCGATCTTGTGACTCACCAAAAATCGGCCCTACGGATGTCAGTGCACACACCTGTGACACACGCACGCACAGACGCACCGGTGGATCGATGGGAACATTCAGGGAGACCATTGCCAGGGTAACACACACCACACGGCCACTGTACGGGCGACACAAAGACTCGAGAGGCACAGAACCAGGTCGGGGAGGCAGATGCGCTCAGTCAAGACACTCAGCTGGGACACAAAAGGGCAGGGAGACCAGCGCAGCCCCCGCCGATGGGGACCACCCGGGGCCCACGTGCAGACTCCGCCAACCCCGCGGCCACGCACCCCGAGTCCGCCGCGCCGCCACAAAGCGGACCCCAAACTTGGCCGCCACGGGGACTCGGGAGCCGCAGGGCGGGAGCCTTGCGCCGCCGCCGCCCGCAGGCGTCGGTCAGCTTTCGCCACCGGTCCCCAGCGGCTCCGCGGAAGCTCGGAGGGGGCGCGTCAGCCCGCCCCGCAGTCCCCCCTCGTCACCCGGCCCGGTCGCCCCCGCCGCGGTGGCCACGCTCCTCGCCGACACCAAGCGGCGTCCCCCGGGGCCCGCCCGCCCAGGCTCCTCACCAGAGAGCGAGGTGCCAGCGCCTCAGCGAGCCCAGAGACGACGACGCCGCCGCCGCCGCTCCGGCGTCCGCGGCCGCGCCGCTGCCATCTTGGCTCCGGCCGGAAGTGACGTCGGCGGGGCTCCCGCAACCCCGACACCGACCCGAGGCCGAGCTCGTGGCCCGCGACCCCCTCCGGCCCCGACACGCCTACGCGGCGTGACCCGGGAGGACTGTGTTGGCCTCGGTGTCAATCACTGGTTCACCAGGGACCGACCCCCCAGAGTGTCACCACGGAGAGAAGCCCGCGTCGCCATTGCGAGGCCGGCTTGACCACGGAAGAGTTATGGCTGAGGGATTCACAGTTCCTCCCAGAACCCACCACCCTTCAAATGATCAGGGCTGCCGGGCATGGTGGCGCACACCTCAATGCCACAACTCATGAAGCAGAAGCAGGCAGACTTCTGTGAATTCGAAGCCAGGCTGACCTGCGTAGTGAATTCCAGGGCACCTAGGACCACACCTTGAGATCTTGTCTCAAGCAAAACAAGAGTAGAAGAAAGGGTCCCCTGCGAAGGCCATTGTACCTCTGTCGGGCACCACTGAGGTTGTGTGCAAAGGACCAAGGCAGCCACAAGCACTAAAATGAAACTGGGTGGCTGTGTTCATCCCTTGCGAGGGGGCGTTTGCCAGCCATGGGTCTAGGTCGGTGCCAGGCAGCTGTGGCAGCTAGCATGACCTTCACCTTGCCCTTGGGAACTGAGTCAATGTTTACAGACAGGTTAGCAAATAGATGTCTGGACTGTAGCAGTGTGTGATGGAGATAGACTGGGTTGAACTAGAGAACCCTTGTGGACATCCCCAGCAAAGAGGTCTAACAGGAACATAGTTGCCTATCAACTTCAAGTTGTGGAGAGGTGCTGCCAGAGATGAAAGTTGTAGCTGTCACATCTAGATGGTACTTAAAGCCATGAGTGCTTCGAGATAAAGCTATCTTCCTAGAAGAAAGGAAGACTCTAAATGTAGTGGGCCGTTTTACTACTCTGTGAAAGGATCTAGTCTGAAGAATAGATAACATAATATATTCCGATGTGTCTCCAAAACTTTGGAAAGAGCAGACATGTAGCAGGTCATTCTCTGTCCTGCCAGCTCCCAAATAATGGCATGGGAACTTCTTATTAATTATAAAAACTCAGCCTTTCGGTTATGCTTGTCTCAACTAGGTCTTATAACTTAAATGAGCCCATTTATATTAATCTGCATTCTGCCACGTGGTGTTATCTCTCTTCTGTCTTGCACCTCCTGTTTCTTCTCCATGTCTGGCCAACAACTATGACTTTCTCTTTCCCAGAGTCCTCTCTGTCCCCACAAGTCCAGCCTAACCTCTTCCTGCCTAGCTATTAGCCATTCAGCTTCTTATTACTCCAATCACAACAAATACATCTTCACACAGTGTGCAAATATCCCACAATGCAGACAAGTTTATGGAATGTACTTGGAGTTTAGAAAATATGTCAGTCCACATGGATCTCGGAATACTCTTACTGTAAAGGATGGGTGACGGACATAGCTGACCATTTCATCAGTATCATTGGCAAGAGAAGACAAAGTCCAATGTCAAGGCCTTAAGAAGAACTGGGTCACCATAGAGCCCGAGGGTAAAGGAAGTAACGTGTTTGCCTATTTCTCTCACTATTCAAGGAAGTTTGTTAACCCTAAAGATAGATGCAAGCATGTCACTAGAATATATAGTATTCTGATACAGGACACCATTGGCCTTTTGCACTTTTTACTTGATTAATGCCTTACAGCTTAATCCACGCATCAAAATATCATCTGAGATATCTGTGTGAGGAAAAGGGAGACCACCATTTCATCTACCACCAAACTGCCACGCAAGTTATCAGTTTAAAAGAAAACCCGTATGCCGCTGGCACAAGCAAAATAGGGGACTATCAAGTCAGAAGTAGCATGGTAAAACCAGGGAGCAACATTCCAAAAGAAGGCTGACAAAGAAGTCAGTCCTGTCTTTAATCTAAAATGGCAATGTAATTTCTTTCCTGAGGCTACTGTTTTAGATTTGATGTCTTAAAACAGAAAATTAATCTCTTACAAATGTAGAGGCTGGAATCCAAAATCAGTATCAGTAGACCAAAGCTAAATTGTCAGCAGGACCATACTTGAAGCCTCTAGAGAAGACCGTTTTCCTTCTTCCAGCTTCTGGTGACAGCCAGCATTGCTTGGCTTGTGACCATACCACCCATCTCTTCAAGGCCAGCATCTTTACACTCTCTGCCTCTCTCTTCACATTGCTCTCTCCTTTGAAGGTCGTCAAATGTTTCTCTGTTCTTCCTTAAAAGAATACATACAGTTGCACTGAGGATTCCTGGATAAACCACAATTAATCTCCTCATTTCTTCATCATGTGCACAAAAATTCCATACAAGGTAATGCTTGAAAATTCCAGGGATTTAGATGTAGTCAGATGTTAAGGGATAATTAGTTAGCCTACCACACAGAGTGTATCTCAATTATTTCTACGTACCAGCCATGATGAACTTTTCATCTGTGTATTTTGTCTGGATATGTTTCAATCCTTTAACCTGTGGTACTTTTCAGACTGAATTATACACTTTACATTTTGTCTGTTTAATCCAAAAAAAGACAAAGGCTATCGAGAATACAACATAATTTCATTAGTGATTATTTCCTGTGTGATATACTAAGTATTATGGTTTTCCTCTTTGAAATGGTGGAATGTGCTGCCAGTGAATGAGGGAAGGAATTGGGACACTTTCATCACAACTCATGGTCTGTTTATTAGGAGATGGGAGTATAAAATGCACTCTTTATCAAAATCTTCAACATGAATGAAACGCCATGCTGCACAAGTCACCTGCCCAGCTCTGATCAGCTTTGTACATTACACACTAACATGGCAATGCTGCTCAGGGCACACTCTTCATTCAGTGCAACATCTCAAAACCCAGAATAAGGACAAAACACAAAATAGATCATTTTTATAGGGGAGAAGTGGAATCTCCCATTTAATCTCAACACCAATGGATTACAGCAGATAGTATTAGCCCAGACATTGTATATTTTTTTAAAAAGTATGTGGTTGTAATTAGAACAGAAGCCCAAAAGATTAAAACTTTTATAGCTGGATCAAAGAATTTAAACTACAATGTCTGCGACAGTGGGAGTGAACTTGAGATTCCCTGAATGATGACAGTACTTGTTGCTCTCTGCTAGGTTCTGTTATTGTGCGTGGATTATCTCACACTCATCATAGCCATGTGTGGTCAGCTCATGTACAGCTGTGGGAGCTAAGACCAACATGGATGAAGAAATTTCCCAGTTACGAAATGAGAGCAAGGGGGCTGGAGAGATGGCTCAGTGATTAAGAGCACTCACTGTTCTTCTGAAGGTCATGAGTTCAATTCCCAGCACCCACATGGCAGCTCACAGCCGTCTGATGCTGTCTTCTCATGTGCATGCAGACAAAGTACCCACATGCATAAACCCATACATAAATAAAATCTAAGAAATGAGACCAAGTTTTTTTTTGTTTTTTGGGGGGTTTTTTTTTTGTTTGTTTGTTTGGTTTTGGTTTTTGATTTTTGGTTTTTCGAGACAGGGTTTCTCTGTGGCTTTGGAGGCTGTCCTGGAACTCGCTCTGTAGACCAGGCTGGCCTCGAACTCACAGAGATCCTCCTGCCTCTGCCTCCCGAGTGTTGGGATTAAAGGCGTGCGCCACCAACGCCCGGCTGAGACCAAGTTTTTAACTTGGACATTTCAGCTCCATGGGAATCAAACCCCTCATCCTTGGTGTACATACGTGTGCATAGACACACACACTCACACACACACTTGGTGTACATACGTGTGCATAGACACACACACTCACACACACACTTGAAAGCTAGACCAGTAGTCACTGTGGGCCACTATAATAAATACATATGCTGTCAGGCATAAATTCTAGGGTAAATATTGTCATGATGGCCAACCCACTCACAGTTATCAACTGTCATCACATTCAATCATATCTATTTGGGAGACTGAAGCAGGAAGATCCTGAGTTCAAGTACTTCCTAAGCTACTGAGAAAGTCCAAGGACAGACTAGGCAGTCTAGTGAGCTCCTACCTAGCATGTGTAAGGCCCTAGGTTCAATCATCAGTATGGCAAAGCATAAAACAGTGACAGGTAAGAGTGGCTTTGGAAAGATCAAAGGTGTGGTCATAGTAAGTGGCCCCGAGTGCACAGCTCACCTTAAAAACAACAAAATTGGAACAAAACAAAATATCTTATCTTATGAAGACAAATTATTTTTCCACAAGAAGCAGTAGCTCCCTGGTTTGGTCACTTTGTCCTTCTTGTCCTCCATCCCAAGCAAGGGATGACACTCAATCACATGAGCAACCAAAAGATGTAAAACTTATATTCTGGATTCTTCTTGAATAAAAATGAATGAAGTTAGCCAGGTAGTAGTGGTGCACACCCTTAATCCCAGAGGCAGGTGGATCTCTGAGTTCGAGGCCAGCCTGGTCTTCGGAGCAAGTTCCAAGACAGCCAGGGATATACAGAGACATCCTGTCTCAGAAAAAGAAAATGAAGTTCAAAACTAGACATTATACATTCCGAGGGCAAAAGATTAATCTTATACAACAAACACTTGGAGCTACACTGTCTCGTAAGAAAACTGCTGCAGCTTCAGAACCAGCTGCTGCTTACAAAGGTGAAATTGAACAATACGCAGGGGATGGAAGTCACCCGTTCTGAGCACCTCCCGGCTCCTGCCTTGCCCCAGAAATAAACTCTAAAGTTAACAGAAGATGCTGAAGCTGAGATTCACTGTTGACAGACAGCTGGGTGACAAGCCAGAGGCAGAGTCAAAGACCTGTGTGGTGCCAAAGTCTAAGATGTGTCCACTGCTCACGATGCTTCCCGTCATTAAGGTGCTCCAGGCCACTGGGGACCAAGACACTGTCCCAGCTCTGCAAGAACTAGGCTAGAGGACTTAGAAAAGCAGCCTAGAGCGTAGTCAGAGCTTGGAACTGCAAACCCTGCTTTTGCTGTCCGCTTGAGGGCTGGCTCCCTATGCTGTTTATG